TTAGCATGTACTCTATATTTACTAGATATTTATGTAACCAAAATTGCTTATAGGATAGGTCATCTCTATGGGTTGAACTCACCTCTATAGCTTGAATTTGGACTTTTTCAACCAGACTACTTACGTAACTATGATGGCCATTTTCTCACCTTTGTTTGGAGTCAGGGATCCCTGCTTTTTTTATATTGTGAAAATCATTTTTAGCTTTATTAGTTTACAATGAGGCTCCTTGGCCCCAAAGAACAATTTCAGGCGACAAATAAGAGCCATTGGTGTCTTCTTAGTACTGTTATTTGAATACATCAAGCTTTTCTTATGTAAGAGACAAAGGCAAGGTTCCTGCAGTGGGTGTGCTTGGGAATAGCTCTCCTGCAATACAACAAGGTAAACAAAAGGAGTTCTCCGAACACCAACCAAGGATAGGAGATGGACTGTCACACTGCAGCAATGCCTGGATGAAACAATAAAACTTTTTTTTTTTTTTCTTCTATGCATTGTAAGGCTAATTTGTCAGTATGTCACCTGAGTGTACTGTTAAAATGTATAGTTATCATTTACCTTATATATATTTTTTCTACGGTTGCTACTTTAGTTCCCCATGGCCCCTTTGTGTGTTAGTAGTAGTCACCGCTCCGAGCTCACTCCTGTGATGGACTACAATCACCACATTTAGATTATTAATTTGTATTAAGATTGTAGTCCATCACAGGAGTGAGCTTGGAGCGGTGACTACTTTACAACACACACAGGGACCATGGGGAACAAAAGTAGCCACCCTCCAGAAGGAAGGACAGTGTCAGCACCAATTCAGAGATGATTTGAGGATCTACAGCCGAGTGATACACAAATAAGATACATTTTTGTTAATAGTTAGGGCACTTGAATGTATTTTTAGGATTTAACTCCTGAGTTTCGTGTCACTGAAAGGTAATATTCCCTTTGAAAAGTGAAATCTTTGCTTCTTTCAACCCCAAAGTTCATTAAAAAAAATCTTACTTGTTAACAGTCTAACCAAAAAATGGCTTTGAAGTTATTATTGCAAACATATGAGGAAGATTTAAGGAGAAGTATTGGGAGAGTAAAAAGTACACTACAGCTGTCACATGTTGGCTCTACAGCTTGAGAACTGAGTGGTCATGAACCGCTGACAGCTCAGCTCATGGTCTTCTCCCTGCATGGATTTCCCCTCCCCTCTCTGTTCCTCCAGCGCTCATTGGGGGGACAGACAAGGGAGGGGGCGGGCACAGCTGGCTCTGGCTCCAGAGAGGCAGAGTCAGCTGTCAATCAGGAAGCGGGGTGGATTATTATCTTATCAACTTGCTTCTTTTGTGCATCAGGGATGTCAGCATTGTCCTGGTATATCCCAGCTGCAGCATGGCTCTGCACTGTCAGCATATAGCGGTATAGTAGCCCGCTATATGCCGACTTTGGCTCACAGGAGTAAATGAGGTAAATGCACTCCTTTTACCCAAATACGGTTTCACTTTAGATCTCGTTGAACTGTAAAGAACATGGTAAGTATTAAAGACAAGCAACTCAATACATTGATTCAAACTTGGTGGGTGTGCTTGGACGAAGAGGAAGGATACGGTGGTTAATGTCGTTCTATAGGAGGTTTCACCAAGTGTAGGAATCAATTTGTCTGTGGCCCAGTTGTCTTGTAATGTTTATTATATTTTCTAAATGATAAAAGTTCAACGAAGCAAATATAAATAATACACAATATGGGGAGAATTTATCAAAACTGGTGCAGACATAATCTGGAGCAATTGCCCATATCAACCAATCATCTTCTCTCTTCAGTTTGTTCAGTTAAAAATGAAAGAGAGAAGCTGATTGGTTGCCATGCACAGCTGCTCCAGATTTCCTCTGCTCCAGTTTTGATAAATCTCTATGAATTTATTAAAATATAGCTAAAGATGCATCTTTCAAATGAGATAGGACTCCTGCAAGGCCCTGAAATGGAGGTTTGATGTTTAGACAAACGATATATCTTAGTAAAGATTGTCTACGCATCTGATGAATTGCTGTCTTTTCTCAAATGCTGTGGGGTTGATTTACTAAAGGCAAATAGGCCGTTCACTTTGCAGAGGAATTTTCCCTTTGCTTAGTAAATGTGGTGAAAATTCAAATTGCAAATAATATTCAATCACAAGCAAGGAAAATAATAATAATAATGATAATAATATTAATAATAATAACAAAACAGTATTTTTACTTGCACATGATTGGATGATGATAGTCCGCAGAACTTCACTTCATTCACTAAGGTAAGGGAAAATTCCCTTGCAAAGTGAACAGTCTATTTCCTTTAATTAAATCAAACCCCTTGTATCCAGATACATTGGGGGGAATTTATCAAAGCACTTACGACAGTTTTAGCCTCTTAGATCATTTTTTTTATGTGCAAATCTTTTAACATGTGCCCGTTTTCACCTGAGCTTGCACTACTTTTCCCAACTGCACGTGTTTTGCACCTGTTTTCTTCAGAGCTTGCACTACTTTTTCAGTTGGATGTTTTTTGCACCTTTTTTGCACGTGTTTTCATCTGCATTTGTTCTGGGCGACTGAAACTGGAGCATCACCTAAGAAAACAATCACAACTTAAGAAGTCCCCATGACCACTTCTTGAAGATACAACAGTTAATCTTTTTGACTCAAGTTACAAGTCTACTTTCCTGGAGTTTATTAAACCTCATTTATCAACAACACTACACTAGCTTGATAAATCTGGTGCAAAAATTTTCTGTGTAAGTTCAAACACTGGCAAGTGCTTTGATAAATTCCCCCCATAATATTTCCATTAATATCAATATTTGTGTGCATCCGTGCTAAGAATAATGTTATAGATTCAACAGTTTCATGTTTTATCTGAAAAAGATCAATTATGAATAATTAAGTCAACCAAGTGTAAATAAACTCGTTTAACTTCAAATTAAAATGAATGGCGTCAGATTCTACCAAAAAGGGAAAAAAAAATTTAAGTCAGAAAACCACATTTTGTAAATCTGATATTACTGTACTTAGATGGAATTAATCACAGTGGATTTAATGGAAAGGCAGTGGATTTTGATTGAACAAAGAAAACAAAAACTCATTTTTCTTTTGTATCTTTTTTATTCAAAAGTTTTCAAAAGAAACAAAACAGAAAAGCTAACAATCTAATCAAATTTACAGTTCAAAATGTTTTTTATTTTGGCGTTTAACAATAACTACAGAGTTGTCTTGAACCGGACAAATAAGTTACCACTGGCAAGTTTGTGGCACTAGTAAAACAAAAATAAAAAATTAACTCTCTTGATCATATAGATATCTCTATGAAAATCTTTTTTCAATCTGTACAAAAGGTCTTTCTTCATAAATTAATTTTATTTTATTATAATTTAATGGCTGTCTACTATGTGATGTTTAACTGATTATTTTTATGTACAGAGGTTATGTTTTAATGTTCCAAATCTTACCCAGACACAAAGTATGGCACATTGTTCAGACACCTGCAGCAGTGATTGAAATCCCCTTAATTGGAACTATATGATTTTACCACTACTTAAAACATAAATCGAGAATTACATTTTAGTAAGATTTTTAGAGTTCAGAATGAATTCAATAGAGGAGGGCTACCTGCAGTCTGAACTTCGATGTCTTTACTGCTGAAGGGGCTGTTTGAACATCCACAATAATTATCCACACACCTCAAGCAGCAAAGGTGTTCAATTAAAGCAATTATATCCCAGGGAGCTTTGAACCAATTATACCACAACTTTTGTTTTATTCCTCTGCAAAAAAATAAAATAATAAAGAACAAAAACACTTCTCATGAATATGTATTTTTTTTTTTTACTAAAATCTAAACTCAGAGCAGCAATTACTTTTGAAACTATGAAATATCACTGCCATCTAAAAATCAAATACATGCAGATTATTACTAAATACTTAAAATAGTTAAAAAAAATAAAATAAAAAAATGAAAAAAAAATGAAATAAAAAGTAACAATAAAACTGCTTAGCCCTAGCTCCAGCTAGGAGGATTTGGTCATAGGAAACAGGCAATGCCAGCAACCTGTCCCAATAAAAAAGGAAATAAAGTTTTGAGGTAGATAACTGATCACACTGCTGACCAGGCGAGTACACAGTTTTGGAAGACAACAAAATTCATTTCTTTTACATATGCAATTAGAATAAAAACAGCCATAATATAAGCAGTGATCAATCTAATGTGTTAATAAAAAATATTTATATAAAAGGAAACAAAAAATGCTGCATTTGACCAATCAGGAATTTCATAGTTTCAAAAAGGTGTTTTTTATTTATTTTTTTTTCGTTACAATTAATACTTGTAGTGATGATGTGAAGTGTGGCACTGCTTGGATCCAAGTCTTCCTTCATGCTTTTGATATTGTGTCCATACATTTACTAAAACTATTTAAAAAAAATGCAAATGTACAAAAAAAGGCACATTCTCCTAACCGCAAACTGGTCCGGCAAAAGTAAAGAATACAGAAAAAAAAACATGCTGAGAATAATCTGGAAGATTGGTTACTGGCTCTTTGTTCTTTGGTAAAGTTACCTTTAAAAAGTGCCGAGTCATTTTTATTTATTTATTTTTTATTATTTTCACCTAATAGAGAGCGAGTACCCAATGTATTGACAGTTCCAGTTATATCTCAGCTTATTTCTTTAAAGTCCTTTAGTTTTTTTGCCATGTTGCTATAACAGCACTTTTCGTTTGCAAGGTTTGAGCACAATCAACTAAAGTACTATCATTAATTGTATAAAAAAACAAC